AGGAAGAGGAAATGTCCTTAGCTCAGGTTCCTAACATAGAATAACTTATGTAAGGCAAAACAGTGGTTTTGTCACAAGCAATCCCTGTGCACATAGAATGACAAGAGGCAGGGGGGATTTGTAGTACTGGGAAATTGCAAAACTCAGTTTATCTGTTGCCTGGGGGCTAAGTGGACATGAAACAGCTGCTGCTTGCAGCATGATCCTTGAGACAAAACAAAACCAGTGAGTGCTGTGTTGTGCTGAAGTGACTCAGGAGCTACTTCAGCCTTCCGTGCAGGCAAGGCAGACAGTGAAAACCTCATACGTTCTTCCTGTGCAAGACCTTCCTTTAGAACAGCTAAATGCCTTATACGCAGAGGTTAATACAAGCGATTCAAGCAGTATATATGCTCAACAGTGAATCAAAAACAGCTTTGTCTTCTTCAAAGTGTTATCTCACTCTGACTTACACAAGATAGTGCAGTATTTTCCCTAGGGTTCAGGGCTGCCCTGCAGCTTTTGGGATTCAGACTAGATAGATCTAATGCTATCACATACATTTCTTTCAGGTTACAGTGAGCATGAAACAATACCCATTAAAAGGAAACTATTTATTTATTGTGCTGCAGTAGAACAGGGATTTGTGTACCTAGGGATTTCACAAGTAATTTAAAGCACAGAAAAGCAAAACAGCTGTTTGGCGTTATCTTCCCATGTGTGCTTTCCTCCTTCACTGTCTGAACCCTTTGTTTTCTGCAGTTTAGATAAATCTATTTTCAAGGATGGACTCATAAAATCACAGAAGTATCCCTGCACAAAAGCTAATGCTAAACAGCTACTCTGCAGTAGAAATTCTATGCTTTTCCTCATATGTAAAGTCTTAACAACTGCAGAGAATGTAAAGCCAAACAGTTTAGCAAACAAGACTACCATCTAAAACGAGCAGTGGAAGCCCAAAACTATTATTAATACAGAATTTAATTCTAGATTAACATTCAAGCTACAGATCTCAAGACTCTGTATTTCCTTCAGGGTTTTGATGTTATTTTTTAGTCTTATGCCCATTTCTCCTTGAAGCACAACTGCTTTGGAGGACCTTTTTCAATCAATTTCAGTTGTGATGTGCCTGGAAGAATTATGACAGATCAATAAATGCTGAGAACTGATAGCAATTAAGAAAGATCTGTAACTTTTGTTATAGATCAAGAACTAGTAATCAACAATTGATGAAAAAGCATATACAACTACTCTTTGTAACAGACAAACATAGTAAAGGCATGTTTCTATGAATGTTTGTACTTTTCCTTTATTTAAACTGTCTATATAAACAATAACCTAAGAACCAATTTCATTTGTTTTAAACATGAAAGTCCCACACTTCCAGGATGTAATTTTGGTACACAGGTTAACAAATGCAAACAAATGGTGCAACTAAACAGAATGCTTTGACCTCATTTGTATTTGAATAAAGTAAGATTGTTTTCTATTTTAATTGGAACATAAAATATTAAAAAAAAAAAAAAAAAAAGATATTCTGCTCATTAAGCACAGCAAGGGTCAAAAGTTTTTCTTTCCTTGTTTGGGTTCCAGTTTAAAATACCGTGCATATTACATGACTACAGAACTCTCATTACTGAATTTTTTCCACATTCTGAGATTTTTCGATAACAATTCTAGTAAAGCAACTGAAGAGATGAGTGTTTGTTGTTCAAACACTTATAAGCAACACTCTATATATTTCTCTAGGGTGCCAGTCTCTTTATCTCTTATGCGTCAGATTTCTTCTTTTCCCTGATCTTTACATTTCTTCCAGCTGCAACAGCCAATCCTGCATACATGCTTAATGGATCACCCATTTCATTTTTACCCATTTATTTCTTCTTGTACGCATCCTTCTCTGTGCTTGAAATTCTGCAAGCATTCATGCATTCCATGAAAGCAGTCCAGTCCTTCGTTTCAAGTCAGAACAGGAACTTAATGCAGAATCAAGGCCACATTTTGTTCCAGCCTTCCTTTCCTCTGTTTAGCTCATCTTAAAACCCAGCAACTTAGTAACAAATACACCTCAAAACATACCTAAAAGCCCATTTGTAGTCCTCAAGGCTCAAACACATTTCCAACCAGGTCACATTCTGATTGTATTGACTTCAAACCGGCAAAATACACATTTAGCCGATTTTAGGTGTGAGCCAATAATGAACTGTGAGAAGGCACAATTTCCTTGAGGCCCAGCAAGCCTCTGATACATTAGAGCTTTTGAAAGCACTACTAGGACTATAATTTTATTTTTAGACTGCAATGTGTCATGTATCCAGCGTGACAAAATCTGAATAATTCTTTATCCACTTCAGTAATATAAATGAAAGTCGAAGAGATTAATTATTAGATATGTTCATAATTATTTTTAGAAAAAGATATTTGTTATGTCTATAAAAAGATGTGCATGATATTAATTCACTAACTGCTTTTGATAATATCTTAATTCATGTACTATTAACAAATTTTGTTTGGTATTTACTTGCCTAATTACATTTAATCACTACTGCTATACTATTAATTTTTCCTTTTAAGTTTTTGCATGGACTTGACATTGCATGATGACTGATGTATACCGTTTTTTAATGTTCTTATATATTCACCCTTTAGAAGTCTACTCATGCCCTCCCATCAGTGCACACCTCAGCTGTAACTTCCAAAACTCTGAGAGTTAGTCAGCATTTTGATGACTTACAGACACTACACACTGATCTAACTACTGTATTTTGTTTTTGTCACTACTTTAGTGTAGTATGTGAATGTGAAGAAAAACAAGTGGTAGCAAAAAGCATGTATCAATATTTCTGCTACCTCCTAAATAATTTTAAATTAGAAATCTTTAATCTTGAAAACCTTCATTTTAAAAACACAATATGCAATTTCTCCTGTAACACTTTACAGTCTACAATGGTTTCATTCTAAGAGAACGAGGGTTAATTTTGCCTGCTAGCCACCAGTAAACTACCACTAAAGTTATGTGAGTAAAAGCAGTGGGGCTAAGAGTGCTCTAGTTCACTCAGTACTTATACATTCCAGAAAATTCTCATTTTTCTTTGATTTATTGTGCTGAACTTTCTATCTATAAAGCACAGACTGTGTATTTTAGTCACATTCCTTTTTAATTGCACTGCCAATTTCAGTGCAAACTCAATAAAACTCAATTCTGTATTCTGTATGGTATACTAAGTGAACATTGAAGAAAAATGTATAATGCAGAAGCTGTTTATTGACTGGATCTTTTAGGGCACTGAGCCCATTTTTGTATGCTCGATTTCATACAGAGACTATATCAACACTCTAAGTACTAATATTCATAACTGTATAAGTGTGAGCATCCATTATTGCTTCCAAAGACCACAGATAGAATAAATGTTGTATATTTATATTTAATACATGTTGGTCATTTTCATTGCATGTAGGGCTGAGTACATTCCCCATAATTCTTCTGTTTTTACATTGGAATGAAAGCCCTTCCACAGTTTTTGAGGCATCAGTCAAAAGATCCTATATAAGCGTAATGGTTTAAGGACAACAGAAAATCTGAAGTGTGTGGGAAAAGCACCTCCAGCTCGAGAGGGAAGACAAATTCAGCAGAAGACAAGAGAGGCCAAAAGTCTATTACCAGCTCTCCTTTGCCCCTGCAATGGCCAGTCCCTTGTGACTGGTCAGAGCTGGACTCTACCTTACAATAAAATTTGCAAGGTCAGGCTGGATGTGGCTTTGGGCAGTCTGGTGTAGTGGCTGGCGACACACCAAGGGGGTTGAAACTAGATGATCATTGTGGTCCTTTTCAACCCAGGCTGTTCTATGATTCTATGATTCTAAAATCTAGATTTAGTGTTCCCTCGAATGCTTGGCCTACCCATCTCCTGTGTATCAGCTCCCTGACAATGTCACGTTATCAGTAAAAAGAAAGGGAGCAGGAAAGAGCCCAGGAACTCGGAGCTGAGGTGCTCTTCCTGATGATAGGAGCAAGGAAAACTCTCAGCAGATCGCTTTGGGAAGGACAGAATGAAGCAATACGTGTGCAGAACACAGAAGGAGCTGGAAATTACTGATAAACTGACTGAAAAACAGCATTAAAACATTTAAACTCTAGCAAAGGGAAGGCTTAGCTTATTGTTGGATTCAAAGCACAGACACTGGTAGAGCTCTTGAAAACACAACTGCTGCAAAGCTTTCTGTGTGGAAAATACAGATTGTGATTGACTATGATTGACTATTGTGATTGATTATGAACTCCCAGCTGTTCCACAGCTCAGCCTGTGAACCCACAGACCAACACATCAGAGCTGAAGAGCCAAGTGAGTGAGTTTTTTTTAGTAGATGTGTCCTGAGTGCTGACAGAGGCCAAATATATCTGCTGCACACAGGGAAAGGTGAACTGGAAACCACAAACTGCAAAGGGCTCCCCCAGCACTGGTGTCCTCATTGCTAAAAAGAACTTTTTAGAAATAACGGGATAATTGAGAGCATAACAGTGGTTTTTGTTTATCCAGTTTGGGGGGGGGGGGGGAAGATTGGGGGGTTGGGGGGAAAGAGGTCAAATGTCACCATTTGTACAGGCTAATAAGCATCACTTGTCCTTACTCTTTGCTTTGTACTTGTTTGCCTTTAGCGCTCAAGGTTTGAGTTAAAGACGTGAGTTCTGAAGGTGTGACCTCATGACACACCACGCTCCTGACCATTGCGAAAGCGACACAGACGGGACGCCAACCCTAAGGCAAGGCGGGGCATGCCGGGGTCTCCTTCGGTATTGCCCCTCCCACCCCATCCCGAGCCAATCGCGCAGGTGCGGTCATGCCCGGGTTCAGCACGAGCGGGACGGACGGCCTCTCTGCTTTCTGCGCCTCTCTGCGCACGCGCATCGCTGGGCGGAACAACGTATCCCCGCACTCCCCCAGTGCCGTGACGTCACGGCGTCGCCTGCCCAATCTCGATACGGATCCCGGAAGTGTCCGTGCGGACAATGCAACCGATGGAGAAAGGTTCCGGGGCAGGTTTAGTTCCGAGAGGTTCCTCCTCGTGAGCCGCCGCAACCGCCGGCTGAACTGCCACAATGATCCCGATCCCGGTGGTGGTGTGCGTGTTGGGGGGCTGGTGCGCCATCTACCTGGCGGATACTCTGCTCAAGGTGAGGGCTGTGGGCGCAAAGCCCACCGGGAGCCCTTAGGCGGGTCAGCAGCGCCGCTCCTCTCCTCTCCTCTCCTCTCCTCTCCCCTCCCCCCGCTACCCCTTCTGGGTCGACGGAATCCGTCACCGCCGCCAGCCAGCGGCCTCCCCGCCTCCCCTCCCTCCTCGGGGGCCGGCCACGGTCCGCGCCTCGCCCGCGAGGGGCCGCCGCTCCCCTGCGCGGGCCCTGCAAACTTGAAGCTACCCGCGCTGTCCCGCCAATCAAAGTTAAGGGCTGCCTCAGGCCGCCGGGCCCACAGCGCTGCCCCGCTGTTCCTACTATGAGGTGCGGTGGCACAAGAAATACGAGGAAAATATAAAACGAAAGGTTCCATTTAGAATTCTCATGCTTTTTGAAATTGATGCTACAGTCCAGGAACTGCTCTGTTTCTACCAAGTACGGATAGGGCCTAGCAGTATCAAAGTAACAGATGTTCGTTTTGTCACTGGTGTGAAACACGGGGAAAAATGTTATAAGGAAAGCTATTTTAGCTGGTGAGGACCCTTGGAAAATTAAGTAGCTCCCCCTGCCGCTAATTGTCGTAAAGCAAACTCAGCAAAGGCTGGATCTTACAAACACAATCGACGGTGAGAGCCACTAGTTGTCAAATATTAATCTGTACATTTTAATCTTCAGATTTTAATGCATCGAGGCTATATTATGTCTATGTTAAATATATCAAGGCTATATTTGGTAACAAGCACAACATTGCTTGGAAACACATTAGAGAGTTGGCTGAACACAAGAAGAACGTGCTCCTGAGTGAGTGAGACACTTTAAAAACCATCAGGAAGATCAGTCAGCAAGCTGATGTTCTTCTGGTGGCAGCTTTGTGTTTGATGAAAAATCTTGGGCTGCAAAGCAATCACTGAATTCACGTAGCAGACTCTTACAGCATGGTGCTGAGACCCATTTGTATATCTGAGATTTGGAAGATTTTCTTTCAGAATTAGAGCTTAAAATAATTCCTTTTTTGTAAGTAAAAAGGGCCAGTTCTTCTCTAAGAACTAGACGCAGCAAAGGAGAAAAAAATATCTACATTGTTTGGGGGCAACTTAGTATCTACTTCATATTGAGAAAGAAAGGGGAATGCCAGGAATGCTCTTGCAAGCAGGAATGTCCAGGAGTTAAATTGTAACTTTGATGCTTTAGCTACAAGTTATCAATGGTTATTAATCGTCTGGAAGTATGTGGGAGCTGCTGGGTTTCAGTTGATCTTGCTGGTAGATCTGTTAAGTTTCAAGTACCACAGCCAAAATAAATTATGGATTAAATAACCAGATTTATGTAATTAGGAAACTCATGTTTGTTTTATTGCTAGTACTCTAAATCTCCAAACACACTGTTAACTCTGAACTGCTGGCAACTGTAGCAAACAGCCTAGACCTCCAGTCTCTTTCAGTGTAAGCGCATGAAAAGAACATACAGAACATGAGTGAAAAGTACTTCTGGAGTGCTTTTCTGTTCATTATGCTGATAGTGTTTTGGGCAAGAGGATATGGGCTGTAACTTGATGTTTATTCTGTAAACATTTTAGACGTGCAATGTCTCTTGCTTAATTTGATCTCTTATTATTTTTGTTCAGATTTCAAGTGTTTCTGTTAGACAGTCTCACTCTTTGGGATTCTGTAATATGAAAGGCAGAGCTATGTGTATAAATGACATTTTGCACAAATAAACTCACCTAATATTGCTTGAACTACAAGGTACATTTGTGTTAGCAAATCAACAATGACTCAAGCTGGGTTCTGGAAAATTCCTCTTGCTGCTCTTCATTTGAACCACTGATAAATAAGAAAGCTTCCTGGTGAAGGCTGGATCTTACAAAAAGGTGTCACTTAAGCAGGCCCCTGAATTGCTGCTCCCCAGCATGCTAAGTCATCCTATTTGCCTGAAGGACCAGTGATGTGAAAAGGGTAGAAGGTTGTCCCTCCTTCTGATATCAGAAATAAAAAATGTTTTAGGCCCATTCAGTCGAGGTGAGCCTTCAGCTTTTAAGGTCAGGAAGCTGAAATGGTCTAGGGCTCTTGAACAGCCTTTGTCAGCACAAAAGAATGTTAAGGGCTCCTGCTTGCTGGCAGATATTTATGGAGCTCCTGGAGTATTTAGTAGGCGGTCATTAATTTGAAAGGTTGCATAAATAAAAAGGGTATCGCTTTTATAGTAAAATTAATGTAGCAGAGATCACTTAGAGTTCAAGTTAGAGAAGCTGAACCCAGGTCTGTGGAGGAGGATTGAGATGAAACAAAGGGTAATAACACACCTCATACCAGGGCAAGATGGTGCGTGTCGTAATGTTGTGATCATTGGACTCAGAACAGAAGGAGCAAAAGTTTGTGTAGAGCTTTTTAATACGCTTTGAAAAGAATGTAGTAACTTGTTTCAAGGGATGCTGTCATTTAGTGATTATGAATATCATTTACAAACCAAAGTTGTTTTTTGTGTCTCTTTGCAAATGTATTATTCAAGAATCCTGCATTTCTCATTAAGAGCTGCTAATTTGTTTATGCCTTGCTAGTAGAGAAGGGCTGTGGTTTGGTTAGAATGAATTTGAAGGGATGCATTAGTGGAAATTCTAGGGGAAATGTGGTTGATGTTTTTGTATGTGGTTAAGAGAACAGATATTTTTGAAGTACCAGATCTCTATTTTTGATTATAATGCTTGTTTATTTGTTTCTTTTTTGGTTGGGTGGTTTTTGTTTGCTTAGGTTTCAGAGTGTTTGGGATTGTTTTTTTCTGTTTGTTTTTGTTTTGTTGTTGTTTTGTTTTGTTTTTTATCCTGTGTGAACTGAATGGGTTGCATATGTTTACTGAATTTGTAAAAGATGATTTCTCATGTCAGATGTATTTAATGTCATGCAGACTTTTGTTCTTAATTACCAGATACATTATATGAGAAGGCATTTTTCTTTGCTTCTCTGGCCTAAGTGTTATTTGTAAAAGTGTGATATTCTTTGTCGTCTCCTCTATTAAAAGTAGGCTAGCAAATGCTGATGTGGTTGTGGATAGTAAACTTAGCAGTGTTGTAGGGAATGACTGACCGGTATTGACTAGGGGATACATTACAACAAAAATTTCTGTGGTTGTCCTCAGCTGACTGAACAAAAATATGACTAAAATCAATCAAGTTGTAGATGGAAGTTACACAGAAACATACGAGTAGAAAGAATAACATGGAGGGCTGTTACTTGAACTATTTTTTTAGTTTAGTAAATTTTAGTGTACGTTGTTATTAATTCAACAAAATGAGAAAAGCTGTGAGTATGGTTGTAGAAGATACGACACCCTGCTTGTTTCCTGCCACCACCACAGAAGGCCAGAAGTAGTGCAAGGAACTTGGCAAGTTCTAAATTTGTTTCAAGAACCATGGAAGGCAGCCAGGAACCTGTGAAGATCCATCTAGGGGCGCAGGGGAGTCTCTTGTGAACTGCACGTTCCTGACATCTTCTACTTCTCACAGGGAAACTCAGGAGCAATGCTATCATTCAGACAGCTCTGAAGACTCGTCTGGGTTATGTTAGACACACTTCTGCTCTGATACACTTTTCCTCAGCTACAAATTTCTCTTTTAACCTCTAGGGAAAGCTGTCCTTTGGCTTTCTAATACTATCTTCCAGAAAGCAGGCTGAGGAAGGACTATTGAGAAAACCAGGACCGTATATTATAAAATAGCAGTTGCAAAACTGCTACTGTTCATTCATAATACTGGGTAATAATGCAATAAGGTATTAATTATACAGTCCATAGGTTGCATTCATTACAAAGACAAATATAAGGAGAAGTCTTTGGAACTATTAGGAAGGTGTACCAACAGTATCTTGAAAAGCTGTAAAATTATCAGTGAAATTGCAATTGCAGAACAGGTTGGTAATTTTAAAGTCCTTCTGCCTTTTTGGTAGTATGACCATGTATTTCAAGTCTCTTCAGTAGTACTCTGTGATTGAAAAGTAGACCTCATTTTCACCTTTGCTAAGGATACTCCCACTACTGATCCGCATCTTACCAGTATTAGAAACAAGTTGATGCCAACAGAATGTGTTTTTCTTTACTACAATTTTAAAAGCATTTACTAAAATATATAGAAAAGAAATACCATAAAAGTTCATTTTTGTAGCCTTCTATCCAGACAGTTAAAAAATCACTCAAAGTGATGTAACTGTAATAAAGCTAATAAGGATCTTATTTGATAAATACTACTGAATACCCAATCTCTCTCATAATCCTAGGACTGCAGTGATTTACTCAAAGCAGTAGCATACCTTTTTGTACTATATTTCACACCTATGAGTCAAAGAGGGTTTTGACACACTGGAACAGGTTGCCCAAGGAGGCTGTGGATGCCCCATCCCTGGAGGCATTCAAGGCCAGGCTGGATGTGGCTCTGGGCAGCCTGGTCTGGTGGTTGGCAACCCTGCACATAGCAGGGGGTTGAAACTGGATGATCATTGTGGTCCTTTTCAACCCAGGCCATTCTATGATTCTCTGATTTGATTACATGTACCTGAAGTTATATGTTTGTCTTTACATACGAATGGATCTGTTTTACTGCTTCGTCACGTAGCACAAATCTTCCTTACATTTTTGAGTTAACCTAACTTTCCATTGTTTTGCAGTCATCCAGCTCTTTGAAGGCATCTTATGAAGACTGGTTGGTGAATTATGGCTTGAGTGTCTCTCCTTTTCACATGCGATGGCAAACAACGCTCTTCAACCGGCAGTTCTACAACTGGGGGAGGTGGAAACCCAGATTTCTGTATTTATGGTATACATTCAGGATATTTTTTTCTGTCAAATGAGTACAGAGGCAGCAACTATCACCATATGTATGTCTTTTATCCATAGCAGTGGAATGGGTAAATCTGGTTATTACTGTAGACTAACAGTAAAATTGAACGAACATGGTAGCCATAAATGTACTGTGTCAGCATAAGTCTATCTCCTCTGCTAAAAATAACATAGCTAAGTTACACATGGATATACTATAAAACTAGAAATCCGTAAACTGTATTTCTACCTGTGGTTTGAGCCATTCATAGCTCTTAAATACAGAGCTGTTACATATGTTACTGTGTGAAGACGCAGATGTGAAAGCAGCTTCTCATATCCCAGATCTGTCCATTACTGTACATTGAATTTTCCTCTGATCATGCCCCTGTTGCCAATCATTTCCCAGGCATTCAGCAACTATACCTAATCAGAAGCACATTGCTCTCATTCTCTCTTTTACTTACCTACTATTTTCCCTGCTAAGATTGCACAGATTGCTAGTAATGGGTAAATTAGCAGAGTGGTTAGTATGGATGCTTCTGGACTGGTTTAGGAAATTATTGCTGAACTGCTTTCCTACTGTCTTTATCCTATCTGAAAAAAAAAAAGGAGTAGGGCTTGAATTTATTTTCATTTCCTGTATTGCTATCTCCAAAGAGATGTGAAAGAGAATTCTGCTTCATGTTGGTTTCTCTAGCATGGAGTGATTTTACTTTGATTTTAAATAGTTCAATGTCAATCACAATTTTTACTGTGTATAATTTATTACAGCATAATGTTTATACCACTCTATTTAATTAACGTTATAGGTACATATTGATTAAAATAAATTTGTTAATTTCCAGTAAGCCTTTTTAAGGATGGTAAAAGAACAATTATGCTGTTGTGAAAAGAACAGCTAATGAATTGAAATGCTTTAGCTAGAAAATAAATTTTATCACATCCTTCAAGTATATGATAGAGTAAAAGTATAATAATGATGAATAAAAATCAGCCATTAGATGGGCTGATCTAAATTGAAATGTTTTTCAACATAATGGTTTTAATAAATTAAATGGATGAGAGGAAAAATGTCTTTAAAGTAATTGATTTTAACCTAGCATTGCATTTGTATCTCCTAATTTTTCTTCTTTAAGGAAGTTTGAGTCTCATGTAAATGTTGTTTATTTTTTTATTGCTGGTGAAGAAGATGCAAGTATGTATGTGTACTACCTCATCACTTGATCCACAGCACTAAATATGTGGTGGTGTGGTACAGCATGTTAAATTATACATTGTAAAGTTATGTTTTTGTTCATGGTTAATGACAAGTTACTCATATTGGGTAACTGAATAAAGATTAGAATATATAAGAACAGCATAAAAATATTTGAAAATGAATCGAGATGTGATTTGGATGTCAAACATTTATTAAACAAGGACAGTGTTACACAAGTTTATGTTACTGATATATGCTATTAGCACTGTTAGTTTCCTATAGCTAATGTTTTTGTACTGCATTGTTGATGTGTGAAAAGTAGTAGCACTTGGTAAGTTTTGTCTTACTTGTTTTGTCTGTTGTACTAATGTGGTTAAGTGTATTCTAGCACCTATGCATTTCTTAACCATTTGTCTGTTTTGTAGGTTCAGCATGGGAATGGTGTTTGGTATAGCTGCTATGTTTGGCTCTGTGATTCTTCTTGGAAAGACACTGATGCAAACACTGACACAGATGCTGACTGAGGCACCAACAGCCCAGAATGATCGCATGCTGCAAGTTGTGGTAAGTGTTTTCTCCTCAGGTCTTCATTTGAGGGTTGTGAGCTGATACTAACCATCTTCTTAATGAGATATGCAATACTCAAATTCTCCCATGTAAGAATAACCCAGCTGCTGATACTCATTTAAATAAAAAATTTGCTGGTTTATTATCAACCTTAAAAGTGAGATGGAGGTGGTAAAAAATGAGAGGACAAATAAAGGCAAATATGTGGAAGATCTCATATTAAATACTCTCAGAAGTGAGAAATGGCTAGTGATTTTTGAAAAGCTTTAAGTTATTATACTAGAATAGAAAACAGCAATCACAGTACTAAGAATACAAAACAGCAGTAAGAGTTTACCTTCTCTGAGCAGTAGAGGCAATGGTGGTCTTGAAGTTTGCAAAACTAATCCATAACTGACAAGAAGAGAGGTAATTTCTTTCCTTTGTTACTATAAAAGTATTAGTGGGAAGGGAAAGAATTTTAAAGAGCTTTGTGTTATTGTAGAAGCAAAGATTAGTGAGGAGATGGCGTATTTTTGGATTGTTCAAGGACTTCTGCCTAATTTACAGTATGAAATTGAGGGTCCTGTTTCTGGCAATATCTAGCCAAAGGCTTGGTAACAATTTATTTTATTGTTTCATGGATTTCTGATGATGACAATATAGAATGTTATTTTAGAAAGGAATGTATTTTATAGAATGGGAGAGATTGCAAATATTGTCTTTTTTATGTCTTGCATCAAAATGCGTAAGGTGGTAATAGAAGAAATGGCATTGAACTTAGAACAGTTTTAACCTTAGTTTTAACCTTATTTCTCCAAGAATTCTCTCTGACTACAATGTGTAGGCAGAGGTTGCTCTGCCTTCTATTATATGGCAGTGATACCCAACCATTTTGTTCTATTTTAATATTCGGTCAAGTGAACAGAAATTGGGGATTGCGTGCTCACAGGATAGACCTTCACATTAGCATGTGCTACAAATTCAGTGCAATTGGTATGGTTTGGATTTGTTTCACACATACAGGGTGAATATAGCAAATGCAGTATGTGCTGGAAAAGGAGACAACCTGGGAAAGAAGTACTGGTATGGCCAATGTGGTCATATGGTCCACAACCTGCACTTGAATTATCTTTAGAGGTAGGCAGGAGCAAGTGGGAAGTCTTGGTGGTTTGCTGTGTGTCCAAGAGAGCACAAATTGAACACGAGACTGAAGATTTCTCATTTACTTGCAAATAGGGTCAATCCTAAGAATGTATATTTATTACATTCCACAATGAGAAAAACATCCTTTACATTTTCTTTTCCCTTCCCTCCCCTCCCCTCCAAGATCATTTCCTGATCTAGTGGGTGGCTACTGAGCCCGTGGTAGGGTGGCTGGAACTAGATGATCTTTAAGGTCCCTTCCAACCCAAGCCATTCTGTGATTCAGTGGATCTATCCACTTTTTTGATACCAGAGTAAACTGATCATTTGCAATACTCAGCTTTTCTATGTAAGTGACATAAATAAAGGAAAGGAAAGTATAAAGATGAGCCCTTGGAAGTAATCTGGCGTGAACTGTAACTATGGAAGCTGAAGTATAGCATAATATGAACAATTTCAGCGTGGAATGGATTCCTCAGTAACTGCATATTGGCAGTATCACTGCACTCAAACCAAGGACAGATCAGTACTGAAAAAGATGGGTATTATAGGGATAGTGTTATGCCATATGTATGGGGATGAGATTACTTCTCCTAAGCTGACTTGTGGTTGACTTTCTTTCCTACCTTATTCTTTCATTTCTGAAATGAATTGTACTCAGTTGTATAATTCTGCTTTTAAAGAATTCCGGTATTCTGTTTGAGGGGAATGTGGTAGCATAAGTTGATTCTAAAAAGTGACCCAAATGAGGTTGCAAATAATGAAGAAAAAGTGAGGAAAGTCTTCTCCTCATTTAAATTAGTTATCTGTATGTTTCATAATCAATTGATTGCCTTGGAAGAGACAAAGTTAGGTGCTTTCTTTAAAAAATAAATAAATTTGTTAACTATGTTTCAGAGTTTGGCATGGATCTGCGTAGCCTTTAGCCTTCAGTTTTGGGGGAGGGGAAATACAGTTCTGCTTGCATTCCATTTATTAAGTTTTTTTTGCACCTTTTCTCTTATTTTTTTTCAGTCCTGTACTTTATTCAAACTATCCACCAGTAGGTAACTCAGTAGCTGCCCCTTCTTGTGTTGGCTGCCTGTTAACAAAAGCAGCTAAGATCAGCTATTAGGAAAGGATCTTTCAATAAAGGCATTACTGGAAGACCATGAAATATAAGATGGCAATGCCTATTCACACATTACTGCATGAATCCTTCATGATATTTAGCTTCCCTTTTACGTGTATCTTAAACTTGCTTTGACATGTGCTCTGAAAAGCATTTCTCATGTGCTACACTCAGGGTGGCACTAAGATGGTGGCTTTTGCTGTTGCTGTCTGTCCTTCTGTATATATAGAGCAGACAGCCACTGAGAACACCACTTTAGTGATCCATTAGTGCCACCAGCTGATGCTTCAATAGCAGCAATGGATGCTTAACAAGTGAATAGTAGCTATTTTCATACAGTGAGGTAGGACTGTTGTGCCAGTATTCCTTGGTCATGATCACAGTCTGACCAGAATTTGTGAAATGGTCCAGTATAATACTAGTGAATATGGTCCTCTGAAGGATTTTTTTTTTTTTTTAGCAAGTTAGTCTCATCAAGCTGTTGCAGAGTTTTGCATGGGTAGTAAAATGCATATAGTTGAAAAATGAGCTGGACTGAATGGTAGAGTTGACTGGGGTCTGTTCAGTTGAATCTGCTGCTGGAACAGCAGCCAGGAGCTGCAGCTTTTTGTGTAAAACGAGGTCATTTGAAGAGTCTTAGAGGCAGGTGAGGAATTTTTGCCTATAGCATCTCTTTTCTCCCACTGAAGCACAATTAATTCCAAGTATGCTGCAGCTGATAGTACCCCAGTATTTCTTACTTAGAAATGGGAGAGCAGCAGGGTAGGCAGGATGACTGAACTGCCCCCCATGTCAGCAGCTCAAGTGGTGTGGCCTTGCTACTTCAGCCACAGCAGCTGAGAAGATCTGAGAACTGAGCAGCTATCTGGCATGGAGAGCATGGAGAGAGAAGATGGTTCCTCCTTCTGATGGTTCCTCAGAAGAGCTGAGGTGTGGTGGGAATCCACAGCAATATGGCATGCATGTTATACCTTCATCAAAATAATATATCCATTGCAAGCGCTGTTTTAAATGTTAATTTGCCATATGTAGACTGCCAAAACTTGAACAATAGAGAGAACTTATCCTTTTGTGATCTTTTAAATTTGGAGTGATCTCATACATTATATACAGAGAGAGGGGAGACTGACAATTCCAGTTGAAGGCTGTAACTTTTTTTTTTTTTTTTAACTTTTAGTGCACATGTTTTAAGTGCAGTACACCTTCCCTTCCCTTCCCTTCCCTTATTTGGAGAGTGGATCTCAATAGCTGACTGTCTACAGCACAATTTAAACCACTTCTCACAGTGCCAAGCCTCTCTCATTATAGCTGAAGGCTGCGTATATGTTTATAAAGTTTTGGAGCTTAATATAAAGTAGGACACACTCTGTCTTGGTTGTGGGGACCGAATAGGAAGAGTGAAGGCTTTTTCTCCTAGAGAGCTTTTCAATCTTTAACATACAAATATATATTCCATGTATTTTAAAATATATTGAGTAAACTGAGGGGAGTTACAAACCAGCAGCGCTGTGTGAGTGGCTCTTACTGTGTTGGTGGGCTGAGAAAGCTGAGTGAGAACAGCAAGGCTAGAGACAGAATAATTTGTCTTTGTACCTAGTGTGTTTTGTTTTGTTGTCATGCCCACATGAACAGGTGCCTGGTGTAAATTTGCCTGTCAGCCAGCTGACCTATTTCTTCTCTGCAATCCTCATCAGTGGTGTGATACATGAAGTCGGCCATGGGGTGGCAGCTATTCGGTAATACAAACTACTTTTCTCTTACTATGTGCCAACAAAGCCTAATATTCCAGAGTATTTAATTACAAGGGAAATGTTGTTATCATGTTTTCAGCTTTTCTTGACAATCTGTTTATTCTTTATTTCATAGCTTTCTTAGATTTTAAGTTTCTAAAGTACGATAAAGAACAAAGTTTTCATAAAAAGTGTATTCTACTGATTGTGAGAAAGGAATTCTGCTTTGTAAATATACCACACCACATCAGGTTTAAAATAATTCTGCTTTTGAGTGATCCTGTTTTTCACACAGCAGTTGTATTTCTGGAGCTGTGGCATTTGAAGAGGACTTGCATGCTTTTGCATGATGGTACTTTAAAATACTTTTTTTTTTTGGTTGTTAAACACAGCTTGCGAAGTAGCATCTAAAAGGGCTAAAGCAGCAATTCAGTCAAATGTGATTTGTCCCTGTTAATCTCAATGATGTGTGAAGTTTTGATCACAGATGAGATTTTTATTATTACTTAACTGTGATGATTACTTCACAAAAAAAGTTATTTGACCTGGTTAATCATTACACTTAAATGGCACTTCAGCATAGGATGGTTAAGGGTGCTTCCTGGAACTGATTTTCCAGTGTCCTCCATGTTTCTCCTAATCATCAGAGGCATTAGCTGTCCCATGGGCATGAAATCCTAAATTGTTTCACTGATTTTTCTTGAGCGTAGGAAGACGTGACACATCTAAACCTGTTACTACCTGTTCTATGGTCCTGAATGTTCTCAGTCAAAGGAATGATGTGGGTCCCCATGTATCATATAATCCATTTGTCTGCAAGCTTGGTTTCTCTTATGTTCAATATTTTTATCGGTGGAAGAAGAAGCTCTTACACTTGTGCATCCCACAACAGGAAGAGATAAGAAAATTTCCTTCAGGTGCTGTTGGTTAACTGCAGAGAATTCAGGAGTAACTGTAGAGCTGTTTCTGACGTTTGTAACCTGGTATGGTATAAGAGTAGTATGATGCTTTCACTCAAGATCTGGGGTGATGGCTTTGAATATTCAGCTTGAGTTTATATTTTTGTTAAAATTTGATTCTTATCTATTTTTAGGAGAAAAAGATGGTATTGTCCAATGTAAAGTTGCTGTTGGTTAAAATCTGGAAGGCTTAAGTTTTTTGCTTCTGCTGCTGCTGTTTTTTCCGTTTTCGTTTTGATTTGTTATTTTTCCTCTAGTACAGGTTGGGTGTGTAGTGTTGTTGCAGTCAACCCTCAGGTTTTACTAAGTAGTTGTATGTGGAAAAATTCTGTTTATTATTATCATCATCTATGATAGTAATGTTTTCAGGCAAATCACTTTGACTCTCTGAAATCTATTACACGCTTTTGCCAATTTCAGTTCAAGATAGTATTGGCTGTGAACTACAAAAGCTTAAAGTATTTGAGTCTTAGCTTAGTGAAAGCTTATGCCAAAGAAGTCTTTTCTCTGTCCATCTTCTATCTGAGTAATGAAGTATGGAATGCCTATGAGAGTGCAAATTTCTTATTTGTAGTAAGGGTAGGTCTTAAGAGCTGAATGCAGGGAATTCATGTGTTCACTCTGGGTCATTTTGCATAAATTCTATTCATAATTTTCTGTCTTCTCATTCTTGGAGCTGGTGTTGTTTAAAAAGGATTTAAATATAATGCTACATCCACAAAAATAAACAAACAAAAAGAATTAGCTGATTTGTGCCCGGTTTGCAACAACTGTCTTTGAATGTGATTGCCACACCTCTACAAGTCCCTAATAAAATATGTAACTTCAAAGAGCACCAAAAAAGTGCCTTTAAGGGTGTACCTGGTAAAGGGAAGACATAGCTTTTCCAAGTAATTTTTCATAGATTACTTTGAAATTGAGTCATAAACGTAATCACTTTTTACTTAAAAGATGTCCCTAATATGAACTTATATGTTAAAGTATCTATTACTTCAAAAAAAACAAAACAAAACAAAACGTATTTAATGCATTACTGTTGTGTAGGAGGCAGAAAAGACATTGAATTTGGTGTTTATTTTTTACCAGGCTCATAACTGCTTGTTGCATAAAAGTGGCAGATAGTGCAGAAGGTATCCTCTAGTTTGATTATCTTTCTGTCCTTCATGTTATGAAAAATAAGTTACCTTTATAATTATAATTTTTGTTCTTCTCATAGGCAAAAATACATATGCCATGAAGAATCTCACAGTTCTTTGTTTCCTAGTGTACAATAACTCCTCATTTTTCTTTCTTTCTTTTTTTTTTTTTTTTCTTTTTAAGAGAACAAGTACGATTTAATGGATTTGGGATTTTTATCTTCATTGTCTATCCTGGCGCGTTTGTTGATCTCTTCACAACCCACTTGCAACTAATATCACCAGTCCAGCAGCTAAGAATATTTTGTGCAGGTAATATTTTCTGCTCTTTTAGTAAGTCTTTGCTTAGCACAGTTACTTTACAGGCATCATATGTAAATCTTTAGTAGAAAAATGGAGAAGCATAAAGTAGTTAGAAGCATAAAAGTAGTTTAAAATGGAGAAGCATAAAAACTTCTCTTTACCTAAAGATGGTCATTCTGTTCTGAACCTAAACTGTGATGTCATTATTTTGTTTTTAATTGCTACTCTCCTTATTATGTTTATTTTCTGAGGCAGAATAGTTCTGTTTCTAGGAGTTTAATGAGTACTGTTTTCCTGCCTTGAAAAATATTAAGTTTTATATCTGATTCAGAATGCTCATAGATGTGACTGGGAATGTAGTTTCTGATCATCCTCTCCCACTAGCATAAGCTCTTAGACCAGCTCAGGTACAGAAGCTCCTTTAACTCTTTTTGCATATTGAATGGCCTAAATAGTGAAATGGTGGGGCATGCAAGCTGGAAAATGCTCAAACCAAAGATTGGTGGTATTAAATGTTGTTTGCTGTCACAAGTGAACATTCTTGTGTGACCACAATTGCAATAGGAGCAATGTGATTTTCAACAGTATCTTGAGTGATTTTCAATAAAGTGTGAGTTACATTATTAAATAATTGACTGGGTTTTGGTGCTGCTATCAGAAGGAAATAAAGGCTAAACCACAAACATCTCCAAAGAGAATAGCAGCTAATGGCTCCAAATAAGCTTCCAAATGGTTTTTATTTGATGTCTTTTGTTCTAAAGAGAAATCCCTGGATACTGGGAATTAGAGCACCATTGTTGTGGGAAGTTATACTGAGATGGTGTTATGCTTCAATTGCTTGTATTACTGACTTCTAGAGACAAAGAAGGTTTCCAACATACTGAAGGAAAGGTAGAGAAATTAATGTTATGCTTCAGTTCATCATAAATATAATTTTCTGTTGCAGGGAGCAATAGAAAACAGCCAGCCTGTTGTACTATGAACATACTAACACTGTTTTTTGAATATTGTAACTGTAAAGCTTTATAAAGAGGATTTTAGACTAGCACAGAAACACTTAGCAAAGCATACTTGCAAGTTTTTCTGAAATTAATCAATTTCCATTTTCAGCTGATGTAAACAGAACCAAAAGAGAAGAAATAATTCTTAAAATGAGTTGTTTGCATTTATTTCTGGAAAACCATCTAAAAAAAATTAGTTTATAAGCTGCAGTAGAAAAGAATTGCTTGCATAGCTTGAAGAGTGAACGCTTGTAATCACTTTGAGAAAACCTGAAATAGGGTTATACAAGGTAGGAACAAACACCTTGCAAGTCTGCTTAGCATCAGTGGCTTGTTCTCACTTTGTTATAACAATATATGTAGGTTTTTTTTACAATTAGTCATATGTGTATTTCAGCACTAGGATGTTTTATGATGCTAAAATATAATATTCAGTAAATTTCACTCTGTTTTTCATAATTTTAAGAGCAATTGAATGAATCTAATATCAAATCTTCAGTATACTGAAGATCTGCATTTACAGATACAATATTTTGGATTTTATATGGCTGCTAAATGTGAGAACTAGTAGAGAATATACTGAATATTCCTTTAGTAGTTCACTTCTACTCTGAGTTCAAGGAATATATTTTTGTACAGCAGATGGCATCATGAGTTCAACAATAACGAACAGGCATTTTTGTGAGACATATTTTTAGCTTTCATTCCCTACTTAGTAATTAAAAAGTACTGCTGTACATCACTTGCTTGTAGTTAGTACAAATCAATGCTTTTGTTTTTGTTTTTGTTTAATTTTGTCTTGTCTTTAACAGAAAAAGAGAGTTAAAATTTTTTTGAAGTATGATTTAAGGTATGTTAAAGGTTGTGTCCAGTGTGCCTCTACAGCTATTCTCATTTTTAGGCTGTTTGTTTTTTCTAAGGATCACTTGGGATGAACTTGAAGCTTTTCTATTTTAGGCTTTTCTGCTGTACTCCACACAGCAAACTGTGTAGATTTTTCTATTAAGGACTATGTTTTGTTGGCTGTTGGAAAGTATTTCTTGTCACCCTCCAACACGTCCATCAACTCTTTTTTTCCCTCCAATTTATGCTCCAATGACCACACTGTTACTAAACAATTTTGTGTCTGTCTTAGATGTTTAGAGTTCATTAAGCTGGAAAAAAATAAAGGTTTTGTTTTGTTTAAAGATAAAAGATCAATTAAAATATTTTCTTAATACTTCTTTCATTGCATTTGTTTGTGCATATAAGCCTATGTGTGTTTGATAAAAATAACTGAATGCTGAAACACTTTATCTGATTATCCATCAGTGAGATATGATCAAAAACTCTCAGAAGTAGAAATTACTTTAGGAAATAACTACTCCTGAAAATGGGAACAAACTCAGCTGAGTACTGAGTACTTGAGTACTTTCAATGTTTCCCATTTGTGTAGCATCAGAAACACTGCACTGTAAATATAGAATTTTATCAAACCCTCTTACAAAGTTGAAGAAGAAAGATATACAGAGTCTTCAGCACTGAAAAGTTTTCTTGCATTGATCTGCAAAATGTTTTCCAACAGCGTAAATGAAATGAACAAATTTTCATAGTGCTTAATGCTGAAGGAAGGCAAATGTGACTTACAGAGGTTTGTTTCATCCTATGGAGCACAGCGTTCTGTCAAGAGTGCTGTTACAAATACGTTGCTAAAATAATGTTTGAAAATGCTGGTTAGAATACTTAATTTCATGGAGTGGTTTTAGGCCCAGATTGTCTTGTAAAAGAAGCCTTTTTTCAAATAAATTTCTAACCTTGTTTGGCACACACAGATGTCATTATTTTTCTTCTTACAGTGGAAATAACCATGAAAAATACTGAACTGCAACTAAATGTTGTACTTTTTGCTGACTAGGACAATGTGTATATTCAGTGTGTATTCATGTATAAACCTATTTATTAAGAATCTTCGTGAGTTTATTGCAGAAAAAGGTGACAAGTAATAGATTTCTTTCCACTATTTTTTTAAATATTTATGATACATGGGTATCTCTATAGATAGAAACTGTAGTTTAAAAAATGATTCAGAAGCCAGTATTTTTCTTCTGAATGTTCTGCCATGAATTAATTTTTCATCCATTCTTACATTAATAATTTCAGGAAAGCTAATTAAAAGTTAACATTAAAATCTTGCACCTTTTTGTTGTTAGTGTTTACTTAGAAACAATTTTTTCCTTTCTTTTCAGGAGTGTGGCATAATTTTGTTCTCGGTGTTGTGAGTTTCATGGTTTTATTTCTGCTGCCAGCCTTTCTTTTCCCTTTTTATTACACGGGTGTTGGGGCACTTGTCACTGAAGTAAAAGAGGTAAGAAAAGTTCTTTACTGGTTTCATATTATATGTTTTGTGATCTGAGGTGTACCTGCGTCCCTTATTATTACAATTAAATATGACCAATGCAATGCTCTTCAGAATCCAATATGTTGTCCTTCTTGTCTGTTTGAAGTTTATTTCTCCATCTCATTTTTTATGTATTAGTAAGTGAACAAAGATGACATGAATAAAGACTACTAAGCATACTCTAAGACTGTTTAGATGAGTTTGCAGCTTATTTCTGTGTGGTTTTGTTTTTGTTTTTTTTTTTTATATTGTTATCAGGTTAGTCTACTCAGATATCTATTATTACTCTCCTTATTGCTGTCTGGTTTTAATGTTGGACATTAGTTTGATTTTCATGCTTGCATGGTCAGCTGGAAGCAAAGTGGAGTTTCTGCTGATTTTCTGGAAACAAATTATTTTTTTCTGACTTAATCCAATACAGCACTGTTGAAGAAAAGCAGAACTGAAAGAATTCAGTCTTTTAGATCTAAAAATGAGCAGATATAACTCATGGAGAATGATGTTTATTGTGCTTTATACTTTTAACAGTATAAGAATAACTTGCATTGCTGGAATATTTAGGGTATTAACTGAAGCTTCTTCGACTTAAAATGACAGGAAAAACACAGCATATTAAGTTGGATGAAAATTGCTCCGATTTTAAGGAATCCCTTGAAACACTTGGAGACCTGCCTGTTTTCTTTATGCACTAAATATTTTTTTCTTTGTGGAATATATTACTTTTGTATTGCTCTATTACCAGTGAAAATGATGAGTTCCAGTGATACCTTAGATCTTCTGTTAGTCTGAAAGTGACACCCTTCCTCAGTGTTTAATGGATATTCAGCATCCATTCAACTGTAAATGGATCCTAGTTGTTTTAACTATAATAAGAAGACTGACTTCAGTGTTTCTTCTCAGGATTCTCCTGCCAATGGACCAAGAGGTCTTTTTGTGGGAGATATCGTCACTAGTCTACAAGACTGCTCAATCTATGGTGTAGAAGACTGGAATTCCTGTCTGGGAGACTTTTCGCAGAAATCACAGATTGGCTACTGTATAAATGCAGCCACTCTACAACAACTAAGCTTTCCAGCTAGAGGTATGGTTTTAGATACTCTCTTCAATATTTTCTATTGTAGTTTTATCATGTCTTAAAAACTACTTTGTATTTAGGGTTTCTTAGTGTAGACAGGTGTCTCATAAATTGAGCCTGATAAAGATATGTCTGAAGCAGTGACCAATATGACTTTTCTTTTTGTGAAATACAAAAGCAGGGAGGGGATAGATAAAATAATTTCTCTTGTCTTTCAGTCAGTCTGTACAAATGTCCTGTATGATCTGAATAATGAGAATTGCCTTTTCAGGATATTGTATGACTTGGTTATTAGCAATTTACAGTTATCTCCTCCATTTTTGGTTCAGTTATATGGATAAACTCAGTGATCTTTTGCATCGGTAAATTCCATACATCACCTTATTGCTTTGATCAGCATGACATTACAAATTGTGTGGCTTAACCCAATGATGTGCTTTATTATGGCCATTTCATCTGGTGTTTCTCACTAAAGAGGTTTTATGTTTCATTTGCTTCTTCAGCCTCACAGTATCTTTTCCCATGAACTCATATTTGTCTGGACTGCATATATTGCTTTTAGAAGTCAGTCTCTTTTCTTCTGTTTTCATTTATACATTAAAGTTCTTGTTACTACAAAAACTTATCCCAACAAAGAAGAAAAATGTGAACTAAACTAAGTTAGAACAATAAACAAAAATTAAGTAGAAACAAAAATAAGCAGTTGAGCTAAATTGGCTGAGTGTCTCAAGACATGCCCTATAGCTCTCCAGTGTTTGATTTATGGATGCATCCATGGAGACTGAATTCTGGAGGTAAGGGGATGCAGCTGGGCAAAACCTGTATGATGATACTCAGAGCTAGAAAATTGTCACTGCCTTTTTTTCATCATAATGGGAGTAAACAGGAGGTTGGACAAGCCAAGTACCCATGCTTTTTGATGCAGTATAATTCTGACGTGAGATTGAAAAAGTAGGATTTTTAATTTTTTAACACGTAAGGAAAGTAATCTTACAGATGAAACTAAGATAAATATTTAATATGGAAACTAGTGGAGTACAGGTAAGATCATGCTTTTTGATATGTAACAGTTTGGATCATCCCTCTGAAAGTGAGGGTATTTCTGGCAAATGTTTTCAGCTGGGCTGGGATGGCAAGTAAGAACCTATCCTCAGATGCCATAGCTATATATTCTGAGATTCTACTGTTCTCTGAAATGTAATTGCAGAGTCATGGATAATAAAACTGACTATTTTGCACCAGAATCGGTGCTATTTAGATTAAAATAGTAAGGACTTAATACTAGAGACTTAACATTGCATCCAGCTCGGTTGCTGTATTGTGTTAGCAGTTCGTCCCATTGCTGCATTCTAATCAGACCAGTCTGTCTGCATTTTCAGAGCCATAAGCCTCCAGCAGTAAGAAATATTCCTCTGAAATTAAATGAACTCCTTTCATTCTGTAGTAGCTGTCATTTGTCAAAACCTTGACAGTTCACAACTAACATAAATACAGAGTATCAATAAAAATGTATATAGCAAATGGACCCTATCTATTTGACAATAAAACAAATGAAGGATAAACTATTTGAGTATGAAGCTACACAAAAAAACAGTACCTGAGGGACATTCTTGAAATTAAAAAAAAAAAGCAGTGTTTTCAATTTAGTTTATATGGGAACTAATTTCATGGTCATTCACTATTCAAAAATATCTCTGATTGCTTTAGGGTACTTGAAGAAATAATTGTATGGTACAGTGCTCACACCTGTAAGCCCCAGGCATTATGGTCCACGTTAATGGGCTGCTGTTTATGCAGCATTAAATCAGCAACCAACATCTCAGGTGTGATCTACCTAAGGAAAGATCTGCAGTGTTGCTGTGACACAGGTTCTTACAGTGACTATTCAAATTTTTTTTTTTTTTTAACTGTTAGATTGAATTACAATTTAAATGGCATAGAATGGAATAGAAAGATCCTGTACCAGGTTTTAAAGCATCATTTTTTCACTGCTGCAGTTTTCAGGGCTCAGAACGCTTTCAGAACCTGAATCTTGTAAAGGGCTTTTACATTTAAAATAAGACACTTTGAGCTTTGGTTATTTCAGTAGTCTGCCAGTGAAATTGTTACAATAGCTGACATAAATTTCTATGCCAGCCCTTAATACAAGTTGGAGGCAATAGCTAAATTTTTTTTTTTTTTTCATAGAGCTCAGAAGTAATAGATCCCCTAGATCTACTACTAGATCTCAAGAAGATTATTAAGATGAAAAATTCAGCACGTGGGATGATTGAAATCAGACGATATTGTTAGGGTGGTATTTTTAGTTGCAATGAACCATGGCTAGGCTCTGTGGTTTACTTTAGTTCTTGAGGGCTACAAAATGGTTATTTTGTTTAGAAACTTTGATTTCTTTTTCGGAATTGTCTATACTATAATACTGATCTTTTTCTCTTATGCTTCTGTTCTTTAGTTTATAGAAGACTTGATGGCACAGTTGAATGTTGTAGTAACAGTAGCCTCACAGACATTTGCTTTTCGTACAACAATAACTTGGACAGCCATCGGGTAAGTTATTTAAAGTGCTTATTCTGCTAGGTAAATTTGAAATTTAAGTGAAGTTAGAAATATTCACTAACTTGTATGTAGCATGCTCAAGTGCTTAAGAATACTTCTAGTTTGCATTAAAGGTATATGTGTACATTACTTTCCCCCTGTATGTCTTACAAGTCAAAATACTGTAATTTTTCCCATGATCAGTCAAGCAGCGTCTCGAAGAAGCAGAAAAGATCTTTTACCCCTCATTCATTTAGGCAGAAAGACACTTCCCCTATCTTCACCATTTCATGTACAATATTGGTGAGAAAAACAACTTCTGAGAAGAGGGCTACATTTTGTATTTTGGAGCTTCAGTCTTTAAAGGTAGTGAACACTACAGGCAAACCAAAACACCAGACTATCTGTTCTGTTATTTTCTGTGAAGTTGGCAGTGCTGTTCACTGTTTAAAATTAAAACCATGTAAGTCAAGATTGTGGAGATTAATTTTTTCAACATTGAGGCCTTCATTTGATTCCTTTTTTATCACACTGATTTTATCTTATGGAAACATCATAAGTTTCCCAGTAGGATTTTGCCTTAGTGTCTTCAAAGTATGGAAATGTTTCTTAAAAAGCATGATCCATATTGACAGTGAAGGAATATTTTTAACAATTCTGTTTACAGTAAGGAAGAGCATGAGTTGCAACTGTGTAAACTTTTCTACAGGTGTAAATTTGTTATTGTTGCAACCTGTGGGGATAAATATATCTGCTATATTTTCAGATTCTCTGATTGTAAACTTCCCACTCCAGTGTCCTCTTGTTGTATTTAGGTTCCAAGAGTTGAGCATGGACCAGCAGTTTGCTTGAAATGTGGTAGTGGCTGGGAACATCCTGGAGTTCAGCAGTGTTTGATAAATCATTGTTCTACTGAGCTTTGATGCTCTTATCTGGTACTTAGGAACAGTGACGAAATAAAAGCATCCAAAATCCTGTCTTACATAAGTCCTTAGAATGGCTGTGAGTTTTTTACAAAATAAATAGTGTTTTCAATGCTACAGAGCAGTGTTTGAAAATGTGCTCCTTCCTCCTAAACAGAAAAGAAAGAGCTTGTATTGAGGTTAATGCAGAGTGTCTGTCTGACATACATGTATCTACAAAGCAATGTAATTGTCAGGCTAAGAAGCAAGAAAATCCTCTTTTTTCTTTCCCAAGGCAAACAATAGATGAAGAACTTTCCTTGCTTGTGTTTAAGAACAAAAGGAAAATTACCACGGAGCTTTTAGGAGAGACATGTGGGGAAAAACCATTTCTTGTTCCTTTCTACTGTTCTCTGTTTGGCCGGTGGCATGCAAGAAAGATCTGGTCTTTCAGCCTGTGGATGAATGAGTATTACATAGGTAGGACCAGAAACATAGCACTGCATCAGGTGCTGTGTTCATCCAGTAAAAAAGGCCACTTAGCAATGACATGGCTTGGGCGAGGTGGTTTGCTGCTTTCCTGAACATAAGATTTTGTTCAGCCAAATAAGCTTTTAGATCAATGAAGGCTGAAATCTCCTAACTAGGTAAGTCAGTAGTTCGTTGATGCAGGCTTTGTTTACTAGGAATCCCTGACTTATGTTCAGATGGCTTGATTTTTGTTGTGCATGTCAGCTTTTATTTGGATGCATGTAGATCCTCTCCACCAGAAGCGGAATGAGAGGTTGAATATGTAACAGGTAAATGTTCTGCGGGATCTGGAAAAAAAAAAAAAGCCTAAACAATAATCCCTCAGATTCTAGCTCTTTGTGAGCTGGTAACATATCAATGAGACCTTTGCGTTGATTGAAGAAGGAATATATGTGCATATATTACCTTTTTTTTTCTTTTTCTGTTGTGTTGGAAAATACCTTAAATTGTTATATCTGCCCTTTGCAGTATGCCTGTCTGCCAGCACGAAAAGTTATCGAGGCCAGCAAAGTTTGTCGAACCAATGCAGACTGTCAGAAGGACATTGTTTCAAGCTTTTGTGTGACTCCTTCTTTAGAGAATCAAACAAGACTAATCAGGGTAAAACATCCACCCCATATGGACATGCTGTTTGTAGGACACCCCATGCACCTTCAGTACACAGGTTTGTATAACTTACTAAAGCAATCTAACAAGAAAGAGTTCTTATATGGTTTACTTTTCCTGGCTGCTTGAACAAGGTCTTAGAGCACTTGTCAGTCAACGTGTTTAATACAGAATCCATTTCTTGTTACAGCCAGTGGAGAGACATGGACTTCTCAGGCCTAAAATGAAATGTGCACAGTGCAATGAGTTACAAAGGTAATAGAAAACATATGTGATATGAGATAGCTGTTTATTCAGAAAAGTATGCAAGAGCTATTACTGTTGAAGATCTCATTGAGTTTAGTCATGGGAACTAGGCACCAGCATTTTGCTAACACGTACAATTCTCAAGATGAAGTATTGTGAAATCTCCAGGGCATCTTGCTCCAACACCTTGCTTGGAACGTTAGCATGATTGCCTAAATCACACCCAGTATCCAAGTATCTGTGTCAGATTCCCATGACTACTAAGCCACAAGTGCAATCAAAACATGGCTTTTTCCTGGGGGTTTTTTTTTTTTTTGGTTTTTTTTTTTTTAAGTGCCCTAAATTAAGTAGCTATAGCAGTTCTCTATTTTGAAATGGACTGTGGCTCTCCCTTGGACAAGCTTGTATCCTTCTTCCAGGTATACAAAGAAAAGGGAGTTCTGCCACTGGAGCAAGAATGGGAAGAATAAACAGACTGATATACATGCTCACTTAGTAGCTTGAGTGGCAGTTTGAATATAAGCTTCATATACTTAAATACTTTAAAAAGTATTAAGTATTTAAAGTACTGTTCTTTCCTTTAAAGAACTTGTCTGTTCCTCACAAACAGGCTCACAGGGAGAGGTTTTGCTTCAGGCATCTTGAAGTACCTCCTTAGAGAGGCATTATGCTTTTCTGAATAAGCATTAGAATGTGATACAAAAGAGCTTTAGAAACAGTGATGAAATCTGGTTGTGTAAACATATTAGTGTTCTTGCATAAACATATCTTTAGTTAATCTGCTAGTTTTTATCTTTCTGTGCTGGTATTATTTTGATACTCAGTGAAAAATTAATTGACTTCTATTTGTATGCACTATACCCTCATGTAAGCACAAAATGCGATCTCTCAATTTGTTATTTCTGCCCTCTTGTCATTTAGGAAGAAAAGCATTGTTCAGCTGTGTGACATCAACACACAATTCTGTATTTGACATCTATTCCACATGCAATCATAATTTGTAAGAATAGTGTTTGATAATTAAGTTCCCTTTCTCAACTCTGGCTTAACAATACGTACTCTAACAATTGATATTGTTCTCTTCCAACATGTTGGAGCAATGGAATTTTAGTCAGTGTTTCCTATTAAGTGATAGTTCTGCTAAACAGTCAAATCTGTTAGTTTTTCAGAAAGGAGAACAGTGTCATTGAATTCATGTAGAGAGGCAGTTCTACTTTAAGAAGTTACAGTGTATTTACAGAAATAGAACGTTAAAATATTTTCTATATCTTAGAATTGCATATCAAATGTGTTAATTTGAAAGCTAAACAGTGACTTTAAAACAAACTTTTAAAAACACCAGAGCTAAAGGATCCTGGGCTGGGCTGGGCATCAGGTTGATTAGTGTACCATCACAGGTTTACATGCATTCCAGTGAAACAACATCTAAATATTTCAGGCTTACTTTGCACAGTATTGGATTAGGGCCTGCAATTTTTTGTTTTCTTTTTCTTTGATTTTCTAGAGTTGATGATTGCAATATGGTATGTTCGTTTGATTTTGGGTTTTGCTTTTGTTTTATGGCTACGGAGGACAAATAATTTCTTTCTTTACTGTGCCAACTTTGAAATAGAAAGAAATTTTAACCATATTCCTCATTTTTTAGTATAATCTTTTTGCTTGCCAGAAACGTTACATTTTAGAATAATGCTACATTTAACATACAACCAAATATCAAAGTAGCAGAAATGTGTACTTTACTTATACTTTTTCTAGTAATGCCTCAAAAGTTATGTTTGAAAAATATTAAGATAGTGTGTGTATTGTTTTTTGTTTAGGCTTGCATTGCTGTCATGATAGTCCTGATTTATTGAGGAGCTGTAATTATCTCATACTTTCATTCGAAGCCAGCTTCAGGATCCAATATTTATAAAAATTTATGTCCTTATTAGCTACTTACAAGAAATAAGCTATCCAGTTAAACCTTCCACTTTCTGCAAAGTAAAATATTATTTAAAAAATATTTTTTGTTAATGTGGATTAACATCTTTATTTAGCTCTTGTTTCTAATATAAAATAACTGTTAACAATCACTCCTAAATTAACTTGTAGTGCAGGAAGTCTGGCTGAAACTGGGGGAAAAAAAAGGAATTATTAGTGTGGACATATTGATTAATCTTTTGAATTGGCATTCTCTCTGTAAAGAGCATCTAATGTTATCTAATTTAAATTTATGTGTGGGTTTAATTTGTGTGGTATAACTCAACACTTTCAGTCTTTGCTTACTGCAGGCATATTATACTTTAGAGGTTCTCCTTCTGTTGGACAGATGATGATATACAAGGTTGAAATGGAGATCCTCTGTCATTACTGCCATTCAGCTTTGCAATATTTCTTCTTTATTTTCAATGTGTGGGGTTCTTTTATTCCTTCATGTCATTTCTGGTATTGCAAAATCTTGGCTTCCTTCTCTGGCTCTTGTTGTTTGGGCAAAATCTGAAGGCTAACATTCCTGTTTGGAATTCACACTGCTTGAGGGAATGTTACTGTATCTGCATTGCTCATCAGAAGAGGGATCAACAAACTGCAAGGTTTCCTTCATGAAAAGAATGTGGAACTAACCTTCAAGATAGCTTCTCCAAAATGGGACCACTCACCTACTTCTGCTTCATCCAAGCCTTCCCACAAAAGCCACTTTCTAGCTTTTGGAGGCAACAACTGCCATAATCTCTGTCTGGAAGAGTTTGGTTTCACTTGTTTTAACTTTTAACATTTGTTTCCTTATCATTAAGGATGATTATTCTTTGCTTTCTACCCTAATGTGAAGGGCTACATGCATTGTTTTTGTGGACACCATACAGAAATACCTTATGCTGTAGCGTGTGTTATTTTTCTCCATAAAGAGATTTTTAAAAAATCTTTGATCCACCATTGTTAATACCTTCAATCAGTTTCCCAATCCTTCTAATTAAAAGTATGTCCTCTGTACAGTCTTCTCAGTACTTGCAACACCATCCAGCATTAGCCAACAAAAGGCATTTTAATTCCAGGTCAAAGAGTCGTTCAAACCAAGTGGGGAAAGCAATGACTGTTCTTGCTCACCCAGCTTTGCTACTGTTTTCCTCTTTCGAGCAGTGCCTTTTGAAGACAAGCCTAGGAAATTTCCATAATTTCTATAACTTTTCTTGTCTCCCTTAAGGGAAAGACTTGTCTCCTGCTGTTAGATTTGGTCTACTACATCCCTTACTTCATCTTACAGTGTCTAGAGCTCACTCCAGCAACTTACTGAAGAGTTTCTTACTGTTTTGGAGAGCGAGCTTCAGCAGCAAATTTTGGAGGTTTGATCCATGTTGTCTTAGAGACAACAAGCAGTTTGTTGTATCAGTTTGTTGGATCAGTGAACCGTTCTGATGATGATACCATTAGGTGTTTGTCAAGAGGCAGTCAGGTTTTGCAAATACGGTATATTGCAGTGTGTCTCTTTTGAAACCTTTGAATATACTGTATTTTGGCTCATGAACAAGAAATCTGATCAGATGTTCTGATACCAGCCTTCAACTTAATGAACTGTTTGCCTTGGATATCACTCGACTTGGATGCCTCTGGTTTTCTGAGCTGGATGATGTCCAGGATTTTTGTCTGTATGTTCTTCACAAAGTAGTCCAACAGACCTTACCTGCTCTCAGATCCCCTAAATCAAAGGTCTTTCTTCAGCTAAGGTAAGACTGAACATGATTTTCAAACCATCTTGGTCCAGATGAGACGGTTTTTGTATTGGGAAGTTCTCTGATTGTTGCCACACCAAAATCACTCTATTTTGGGCATCCCATGCTATGAAGGTCTCCCCATCCCACAGTGTGCTTCCCTGTGGTACTCGTTAGCCCTTCTGGCTCATCGGAAGGGCGCTATTAAGAGAAGAAAGCATGCTTATCTGACTGAGCAGACTAATTCTCTGCCTGGTGTTCCTTTGGAACTATACTCTTCCCTTTGTTCTGGTCTCCTGGAATTATTCATTGAACCTGAAGAAATTTGATTTCCCTCTTAGTGAAGATACACTTAGCAGCAGTAATGCTATATTATGTTCTAGCACTGCAATTTCCATTGTTCTCTTAGTCTGTGGTTTTAAAATGTCTAAAAGGATGGGTTCAACTGTTCCTTTCCCAAGGGATGCTTGTTTTAGAGTAGGACTTGAATTTTTCTTCTCGGAACTCTCATTAATCTGTGCTTTGAGCACTTACTTATTTCTGTGGAGACAGTATTTCTTATGGTGATAATTTTTGCCCACATTGATAGGGGGAATTCGGGCCACTGGTTTGCCTCAACTCTGTGCAAAATTATTCTTTAGGGACAGAGCAACACTTGCATTTACTGTGGTAAATTCTTAAGACAATTTTCTAATTCTATCTTAATTTATCTGAACTTTTATGCTCTAGGGATAACTTCACTGTGCTAGGAGTGGAGTTTTATGGTAGGAAGGGAGTCTCTCTTTTAGCTGTCAAAGAACTAAGGCTTTAATACAGTCCCTGAGGCTGAAAGACACAGACAACTGTTTAATTTGAAAGACTGTGTCAAGATTACTTTTAAGAAAACCCAGATGGAGCATCCTGGTACAAGCCGGGTGCACTCTGGGGGACTTCAAGCTACCTGTTTTCTTTGAGGAGAAAGTCTCTCATATGCATTTGACCTGCAGTCAACTGAAACTTCATTTACATCTTTAAAGAAGTTACAGTGCCAAAAGAGTGCTTCAAGGTCATGTGGATCTTGGCACTGCAGTCTTCCATACTTTATATGAAGGATGCTGAGTATCACACCCGGGTTTTTATGTTGTATTTAGTTACATCTTGGAATCATTTTAAGGTATCATTTGAAGACAGAAGAAGCTGTTTATGCACTGGCTAACTGGTCTTAAGAAGTGCAATGCACTGTGCATCATTTCCCAGCCTTTCCTTTCTCAGAGTGACGCTGGATCTGTGCTCCCTGTTTGTTCCCCTTCCATGCAATATGAGCTGAGCTGCAGAACATGAGAATTTTCTGAAAGAAAAATATTTGGGGGGCCTTGAAAGAAAGAGCACATGTGCACCCAACAGTATGAATGTATGTATATATATATATATATATATATATGGACTGCATATGTTAAAATTCCTGGTAACTTTAATCTCCTTTTACATGTTTCGTTGTTTTTGAAAAGAGCTTAAATTACACCATATGGTCTTCATGAGTACAGATGTCCTCTTGTCTCTGAAAATACATGTCTTAGATCTACTTTTACTATAATAATGCTGAATGTATTTTGTGGAGTGTCTTTACTATGTTAGTATGTTTAAGAGAGAATTAATGGCTGCACTGCGTCTTCTAAAACCGAAATAGAAAAAGCAAAACCGTATTTAGATTGGTTCTTTACCCTGGAAGAAATGTCGTTTCAAATTGATTGTTCAGCAAAATTATAATCTAGAATTCACAATGTTAAATTTCTGGAATGGCTTTGATTTTTTTTTTTCTTTTTGTCTATCTTCATATTTTCATTTCAGTAAGTCTCAGCAGTTTTGTACCACGACATAACTTTCTAAGCATTGATCTGCCAGTGGTGATAGAGACATTTTGCAAGTATCCTTTGAAGTATGTTTGTTCTTTAAAGACAAGAAGGAAGCTGTATAGAATTCGGTGACCCTGCAAAATTTCAGTTGGCTATCATTTTAGACAGGATGCTCTGAAACATTTCTGTAGAGTTTTGACATATTTATCCCATCTCTGCATTGATTATTGTCTACGTGCCAAGCCCCAAATGCAATCTCCCACTTCCTTGTGCTTAGCAGGATATTTTTGGTCAGCTTTTTTTTTTTCTTTATTATTCCTTGACAGTGATTTTTAGCAGTTTTGACAAGAAAGTCAAAGTAATCCTGAATTTATGGCAGGACAAATGTTATTGCTAGCTTTGCTATGTCAGAGTTTTATTAAAACCTTTCGTGAGCCATCATGGTCAACTAAGTGATAGAGTATATTTGTTCATTTTCGCTCTTGTTGATAGTGGTGTGTTTTTTTATCTTCAGTAGAAAATTTTTCTGTTTAAAAAGCAGAGTAATAGTGCATTTAAACATGCTTATTAATGAATGAGATTGTATATATGCACAAATAAAGGCTAATGGGCTTGAATATGACTAATCTAAGAGTGCTTAGCCTTAGCAAGGCTTTACCAACCATAGAAATTATCTACCCTTACTCATTTCACATGCACTTGCATGCAGAGAAATTCACTTAACTTTTCTGGCTAACAGTTAAATAGGAGGGAGGCCAGATTTTCAATCATATTTTAGCCGTTTACTTACTCCAGTAAGGGAGTGCTTTGGAAAATATTCCTAATCATTATTTCATACTTAGATCATAGCTCTATAATACCTTCTTACCTCAGGCATAATGTCAGATCTATAACCTTGCTCCAAAACCACACAAGGCAAGGGAGGAAGATGGGCATATAAAGCATGGTTTTGCTGTCTCCTGCTCCTATCTGAGTTGTGAAAAGGACAGTATTATTAAAGCATCCAAAGCTAACGCTTGTTTTTCACTTAAAAACATGAACTGATAAGGGCAGTATTCTGAGCCATTGTGTTATGGTGTAAAACTCATTGTCCTTATATAATTTCCGTGAAATAGAATGGCAACTTAATGTTTCTCCCTGTACACTAGATATAAAAAATGTATTTTTTGTTGATTTTGGTTTCACATTTTCTTGGATTTTATTAATGGACCTTAACTACTGTCAATCAGATACCTAATTTCACTGTCAGGAGCACTGGCAGTTATCAATGCTGTACCCTGCTTCGCTTTGGATGGTCAGTGGATATTAAATTCTTTCCTGGAAGCCACTCTGAGCTCCTTGATTGTAGAAAAACAAAACAGAGAGCTTGTTGGCTTTTTAATTTTGCTTGCTGGGAGTACACTTTTGGCTGCCAATGTTGCACTGGGACTTTGGATGGTTACAGCACGATAAGACACCGGATATTCATCAATCCTTGTATTACATGGACATAATGAATCTAATGCCTTTTAAAACTTGTTCAGTACTCAAATTGAAATAATTCCCTTAAAATGACACTGAAAGAACAATCACTAGAGGCTCCTGATGTAACTTAAATCTGTGCAGTGTTGTGTCTGTGGTCTTGGGAAGAATAAGAGAAAGAAGAAGAACCTTTTAATGTACCACTTAAGCACTGTATTAATTTCAGAGAAGTTCCATTGTAAAACTTCACTGGAAAAACCTGATTTATTAACTTAAATCTCAGAATAAGGGAATTATTTGGCCTCAGACATTTGTAAAGTGGAAAGAGAAAACACTTAAATCTTATAATTTGAATAATGTAAAAAAAAAATGTGGGCTCTGATTGTTTCTCAGTCAGTGTTATCTTGAGTGCCTGTTCTGCTTTTTAATCTGGTGTTCTACCAAATGGGACTCTTAGACGCCTTGAAGTCTTCATCTCAAAATGGTGTAAAACTAATTAAATGGTTGCCATATATTAATGAGAGAGAGGCCATATGGGTTAGTATCTTTCCTTTACAGCTGGCCAAAATGACTGGAAGCATACTGTCCTCAGGATGTAGAGGGGAAATGCCAGTGTCTGTTGAGAATGAGATATGTGGGAGGATAACAAAGCCCAGGTGTCTGTGTTACTTAGGCATTTGGTTGCATATTACTCTGCACAGCTGAAGATTTCATAAAGGCAATATTTGTCAACAATAGCTAGACCAGTAACTGAAATTTAATTTTTCAGTGCTATAGAATGCTGTGCAAAATTATTGCTGAGTGATAATATTTGTGTCCTTTTACTCAGAAAATAGTACTGCATACAGTTAAAAGTGAAATCTGTTGTTTGTATAGTGTCTGTCTTCTGATGCTATGCATGCTGTATGCCTGGTAACTCACTGACATTTCTCTGTCTTTCAATGGGTTGCTTTTCTGTGTTGTAATTGAAGTGTTGTTGAAGCTGCTCTGGGATCAGGATTGTTTAGAGGAAGAACATGATTCTGAATCTAAGTTTTCTAACACTTGGTTTTGCTTTCTGAAGTTATTGTGGACCATATATTTGTTTTTAAATGAGCAATGGAAGAGGAAACTGTTTTGCTGACTCAAGTATGTCTGACGTATTCTGAAGCCCTTTAAACCTGTAATGTTTGGTATCTCAGTAGGATTGTACACTGACCATTGTGTCCTCCTGTTTTGTATAAATCAGATTTATTGAGACACTTGTCTCAATACAGGCTCATATTTCCAATAATGCTGCTCTGGTTTGGAAGCCTGCATATTTGAAATATGGAAATTTTGGAAAATCATCCGCAGCTTGTATCTCACCCAGTGCTCCCAACAGGAGCTTCTGCAGCTCAGAGTTCCTTTAAGGAGATGGCCTTTCCATTCATGAACTTAAGTGGAAGATAAGTTAATGGGTAATGGCCTGCAGGGGTTGTGAGGCATTCATCATCAGCTAAAACACATTATCTTGGTGCTAGAGCCATAAGGGTAATTTTAACAGCAGGGTTGAGCCCTATTCCTGGTGCTGCTGCATGGATACATAACTCTGATATTAACATTTGCTTACCGATGTGTTACGGTATTTTTGCATAGTAGCCTTTGCATAAGCTGGGCCTCCTGAATTCAGCTTTGTGGGATGCAGGCCTGTGCCTCTGATTTTCAGTTGTTTAAGCCTAGGCATCTGAATAAATCCTTCAGCCAATTCAGTGTGAGTTGGTCCTCCTGGGGACTTCAGAAGTCATCCAGTGCAGGAAAGGAAAACAGAACTATTACAAACTGCCAACTGGCTTCTTAGGAGCCACCAGGAAAAGCCTAGATCATTGTCACTTTCAGTAGCTTGCAGAAGATTCAAAGTAGCAGTTTCTGATGTGCCTTTCTTCCCTCTCTCCATAAGCAGCAGTGACATGAGCAACCTGGTTCTTACAGAGGCTGGAGCTAAAGTTATGTTCTAGAAGGCTGTTCATTCACCTAAGTAGCTGCTTACTAATCTGAGCTCTTCTTTTCAAGCACCATTCCAGTTTCCAAGCACCATGCCAGTTTCCACTGTCTCTGTTTCTTGTCCAATCGATAGTGCACAAAATGAATTTGCTCTCTCGTGCAATTTAATAAGACCAGATATATTAGCTTTTCAAAAAAGATACTGTTTATGTATCAGAGTTGTAGAGCTATCTTAATTTCTAGAGGAATAACAAATGCATCTAGTGATTTCAAAAATATCCAATGAAAAGCATTTCAAGTTTGATTTATATATTCATGCTGACTCTAGCTGCTTGGGATGATCTGTTTTGCATAATAACTCCTCCTGGAGTTCAAAGAGAAGTTGTTTTTAAATAATACATACATTGCATCTACTATATGGATGCTAGCAGATTGTTCCTCGTCATCTAATGTGCTACAAAACATGATTTAACAAATGAAAAATCCTATTGATTTCACTTTGTGATCTCTGAAAATCAAACTTGGACTAAGTTGAATTTCAATCTGAAAGTTTTACCTCATAATCAAAATGAGGGTAGAGAAGACTTGTTGATCATGGCTTTACCAAAAGAGACAAGCTAGTACACTGTTAAGGCCATGTATAATTTCTGTGGTAGAGGTAAGTGATGTAAGGGTTTTAAAATAATTAATGGGTCTATTTCTCTGTTCTACTGCATGGGGTTTGATTTAGGTAGGCGTAGGTACTTTGAATCAAGGGTTTAAGCAAACTGAGATCACTTTGGTGACCCAGCACGTACCTTAGATTAACTGTGGAAAAAGGTAATGGCTAAGGTGGACCATCCTGTGAAGAAAAAGTTGTTTAGTGGATCCATTTTATTATCCTATAATCTTAATGTATGGATTGCATTCTGTAAAGCAAGTGCCATTTTTTACCTACATACAGTTACTGGAATGGTTGGTTTTGTTTTATTTTGTTGCTACTCTTTTTTTTTTTTTGTTTAGCAAGGGAGAACACAGAAGGGCACATCATGTTCTGCGTGATGCCTTTTTATTCTGGGTTATTTGCAATGTTTCTTCTATTTATATTTTTATGAAGACTAAAAGGCAATCTTTCTTTAAAATGAAATCTTTTTCACTTCTCAGAATTAGCCTCCCAGAATAGAGCTTATTCTGTAATAAAGAATATATAGATATCGTTATAGGGGTTATTTTCTCAAGTGTAAAACAGAACGCTCTTAATGATTGGATGAATGCTAGTATTTATATATATACAATTTTTAAAAATCTGTATCAGATGGAAGAAGTAATGTCAGCAATTGGGAAGTGTTGTACATAGTTTTTACTTGAAAATTGTCAGAATTCTATAATTGTAATCAATTATTGTTCTGATTTGTTGTTTTTATTTTCAGGAGACTTTTTTTTTTTTTTTTTTTTTAATATCAGCAAGGACTTCCATAGCATGGTCTCATAATGCATGGTGTGACAATGATGACGGGTAACTTCTTAGAACATAGGATGTTACACGCTCATTGCTAGCTTTGAAGTTAAAACCAGCTTGCTTCCTTGTAACTTAAATCGAAAAACTTTGCTAGGGAAATTGCAGACAAACCTGCAGATTTTTCAGTCCAAAGTTATGAGCTGGATGAGCTGGAGTGGAAAATGTGTTAACTCGCTCTTTTATTACAACAAAACAACCAACTGTATTGACAATTACATTTTTAAGTGGTCATTCTAATTTTTTGTCTATGTGTGTATATACAGAAATACATATAGTAGATACGTATGGAGCCACAGTTTGTATTGCTGCTTTTTCAGAGATAACAGAGCTATCCTCCATATTCCGCAATGCAGGTATTTTTCTTTCTCTTTATGAATTCCCTGACTCTTTCTGGATTTTAAAACTGGAGCTGTGCTCTCCTCCCTTAACTGATCTGTAGGGATTTCTTACTGAAAGACATGTGATGGACATAATGTAACCACAGCTGCTTAAGTTTGATTCAGCTGATGTTCAAAATGCATTTCCTGCTTTATGAGAAGCCTCAGCTATAGGCACGGTAAATAAAGATTTCCAAAGTGGTTAAAAGAGGTCAAATTTAGAATCTGTCACTCTCTCACTGCTGCTGTTTGTGCTATTCAGAATGATAACTGGTATGAATGAGGCTGTGCAGAAAATACAGAAGAAATTTTAGAAGAGCAGACCTTCCTACGGCATCAGACTGTCCCAGGTTTCTTGATTACCTTGCTAAAGGATGTATTTTTGTTCAGTTCAGAGCATCACCAATCCAAATTTGCCGTTTCCTACATGTTTTACAGAATGATGCCATATAGCAAGTAGTTGTTTCTAGGTGGTGGTTTGTTCTTTTTTCTTTTTTTCTTTTTTCTTTTTTTTAATGATTTATCTTTTATCTGAAAGGTATGAATTTGTATCTGGATATCATTTGTGACAGATGAAGAAGAGCTATGAAGGTTTATGTAGCCTAAGCTGCATTTGTTTTAAGAAGTTGTGATTTTAACTCTAGAAATGCATTTTTATTTGGAAAAAAAGCATTCCACACATTTGCATTCACATTAATTCCCACAGGTAGTCCTGTCTCACTTTGTGAGCAAGGAAGCTAAATGTAACTCAGGTAAGATTTGTTATTTTATACCCTTTTATCCTGAAATGTGTGTAACACTACATCCAGATTTGTTACCTATTGTGGCTGAGTTACCTGTGGTACATCTGCTGTATTAGTGAAGCATCTGGAAAGCACTGTTGTAGGGTCTGCCACCAACAGTGAACCCAGTGTGAAAGGATAGGAAGAAGAAGCAAGATAAAACACTGCAATTCTGTTCATTGCATTTGCATTGGCATGAAGCATGGGAAAAAAAAAAAACCAACAACAAAAAAAACCACCCCAAACCTTGTAATTAACATTTCAGAGCATGAAGATACATCTGCTAGCCCTTTGTTAAATCATTCAATGAGCGGTGCTCCAACTTCCTTTTTTTATACTTTGTTGGTCCATTGATAAGTGTGCACTGAATGAATGGATGAGGTATTTGCAGCTGACTGAGTAAAAATGGTCTTTGACATTTCTCACCTGTAGATGTTCATCCAGGGTTTGTTTTGCAGCGTCATGCTGCAATTGACCTTCACTGACAATTAGTTCCAAAGTTCAAAGGCTATTTCCAAGTCATCACAAGAGAAATGTAGTTTCTTCCTTTTCCAGTTGTGTGTTAATGTTTTTAATTCCTCTTTTCTGTCCAAAACTCTGGTTTTAGTTTTCATATGCTCTTATCTGAAGTCTGCCAATGGAATAGGTATTGTTCTGAAACCCACTGATGTTTTTTCCTCTGCATAGCCTTATTTCTCATGCTGACTCACAGCTGTGGAATGTTAGATTTCTAGACCCTTTGTTCCCACTATGCATTGTTCATGATCACTTTTACAAAGAAAAACAAAAAAGCTTCATTCTCAAAATGTCAGTTAACAAATAGTATGTAGAACTTTGAATAATGTATTGTATTTTTTTGTTGTGTTTTTTTTTCTCTGTTTAATCAACCAAACAATAAGTATTGTTTACTGTGTGTGATAAATGTATCCTGCAAAGAAATTCATTGTTTGATTGTGAATGTGCTTAAATCTGTTTTTAAAAATAAGGTAAAGTGACATAATTCTGTATTTATGGCAGTTACTATGTTCTTTCTCCTACATTCTTATGTTCTTCTCATACATAATCTGTATTCTCTGTCTGGGTACCAAAAAAGCTTCCCCACTACTCTTTTTAGTACTTGACCACCTCCTAAAATTAATAATACTGCCAATTTGCTTTTTCTTACTTACCAGTTTATCACAGTAATAGTTAGGTTTATACTAGAAGTGCATCCAGAGGGACATCTGCACACTGTTCCTGAGCAAAGCTAACTTTACTGTAATGTGCCCAAGGTACACAATGACCATCTTCTAGGAGCACAACCCTCAGTCTTGGCTACCTCCTACGTAATTCTTCTCTTCTTGCATTGCGGACTTCTGTTGGCTTGTTTTACAGTGAAATATTTGACATGGGATGCCGTCATTGAGGTAAGTGGAACCCCTTCTCTGGGTGTTAAGGCCAGTCTTATGCAAGGAATTTAAATCTCAGCTCTTTGAATGACATTAGGATGATGCTATGTGTCACAGCCTTTAAGTTGTATGTACAAACTAGTGCAGAGCAGGGCATATATCCACACATAGCCAGTTCTCGCTGAGTTCCCCTAGGTATCCAGATGCTGTCAGGGGCTGTGCTAGCATGGCATCCCCAGAGTGTTCAGCCTTATTTGGAGATGAAGCTTTTTCATTCTTTGTCTTGAGCAAACTCATCTAGAGATAGATAGCCAGGTTATTTGTACTGAGAACTAAATTGTCCTTTGTTGCTTATTGGACAAGCAGTTACTTTATGCAAGCAAAGCTGTTTCAGCAAGCAAAGCTTTGTTCCCAGATAACAGATTACTCTGGGAAATAGGCACAAAGCACAAATCACAGACCCATTGGGAGGATTTCCTAGATAGGCTTGTGTGCAGTTTTCTCAATTCTTGCACAAGGAGATGACTTTTTTTTTTTTTTTTTTTTTTTTTTTTTTTTTTTTTTGGTTAATGATTTTTAATTTTTGGGTTAACAGTTCATTTTTTTTTCTTCAACATTTAAGCGTCTATGGTCCTGTAATTTTTCAGTTGATTTTGATAATGTTATCTGATTATGTTATTATGTGTGTTCTGTAGTCTTGAATAAAGTCAGTGGTGTATTCATGGCATCACAAGGAATGATGCCTTAATCACTAATATAATTTGAGGATAATATTTAGAAAGGAGTACTCTATCAATGTGTCTCATTTCTAGCTTAATATAGTTCTTTTTAGTGGGCAGAAGCATTCCTAAACATGTTAAATGTGGGGGGAAACTAGATGGTCTTTAAGGTCCCTTCCAGCCTATGACACCAAGTTGTGTGGAAGTGTGGATCTGCCTTGGGGTAGCGAAGCCCTACAGAGGGATCTGGACAGGTTGGATAGCTGGGCTGAAGCCAATGGGATGAGGTTCAACAAGGCCAAATGTGGTTCTGCACTTTGGCCACAACAACCCCAGGCAATGCTATGGGCTTGGGGCAGTGTGGCTGGAGGACTGCGTAGAGGAAATGGGCCTGGGGGTATTGATTGATGCTCGGCTGAACATGAGCCAGCAGTGTGCTCAGGTGGCCAAGAAGGCCAATGGCAGCCTGGCTTGCATCAGGAACGGTGTTGCCAGCAGGAACAGGGCAGTGATTGTGCCCCTGTACTCAGCTCTGGTGAGGCTGCACCTTGAGTTCTGTGTCCAGTTTTGGGCCCCTCACTGCAAGAAAGACATTGAGGTCCTGGAGCGGGTTCAAAGAAGGGAGACAAAGAAAATGATATTCACAAAGTATAAGCAGCAGAGCAACTCAGGCTTCTGCTAACTCTTGCCCTTTCTCTCTCTCTTTAGCCTCAAACAGATGTGGGTCCGTTGTTTACTCTAGCACTCAGGGCTGCAGTGTTGTTGAGATTGTATTCAATGCTCTTACTAATTCTGCATCTCATTCTCTGTATCTCTAATTATTTTTTGGCATCTACCTTTTTTTAGTCTCTTTTAAATGTAGCAGTGGCTCGATACTGTCTAACCGCCACTTCTGACAGTCTTGGAAACACATGGTTGCACATCTTGTTTCATTTCCCCCAAAAGGAATCATTTAAATGAAAACGAGAAACTCCTCCTCCCCCCCCACTCCCCATTTATTATCCTTTTTACTTGTTATTGCACTGGGAAAGTACCTATATCTTTGTCCCTTCACAGCTCTATGAGGATTTCTATTAAAATATTACCTGATATTTTTTTTAAGTGTATATTCCTCTGAGCCTTTTGCATTTGATGCAGTTACCCACACAGACATCTGGTGTGGTCTGAGATATCCTAAGGTGTTCTTAGGTTAGTAATTTGACTTGGAACAAGGTTCAAGTTTTGATACTCATCCCCTGCTTGTCTCCATTTGTCTTCTGTTGGTTTGGGTTGGGTTCTGTTAGTTTCTTGGTTGGTTTAGGTTAGGTTCTGTTGGTTTCTTCTAAGACCTATGCATGGGGCTGGCAAATGGGGCCCTATAGGAGATCAAAGACATCCTGGACCAGCAGCTGGATACTAGGAGGGCTACCTGAGGGCATTTTGTATCATGCCAGATGGTTACATGTGGGCAAGGAAAAAAGCCTGACTGATCATTTCCTTGGATTTCTTTCCTTTTTGACTCATTAATTAAATTGGAAAATGGGGCTTGAGTGACTTTTATTTGACATAAAAATATGTCCAAGGTTTTCTAATTTTGCACAGTAATGCTATTCATAGGAGTTAAAAAAAAGACATGTATTCTCCTGCTCTGGACCTTAACCCTGGAAGCAGCAAAAAATGAGTACAGCAAGAAAAAGGATACTTTATTTTATAAAGAAAATACTATTTATCTCCAGCTATGGACTAGCAGACATGCACAGACCTACAGAGGGTGAAAGAGACCAGATGGAGACAAGGCTGCCCTGGGAGAATGCTACAGCACTGTGCATGGCTTCTTTTTTCCTTGAAGGATCAAAGAAGTGGAGATTCAGTTAGGAATGGGATAAAATCAGGAAAGGAGTGTTGCAGGGAGAAGTGGTTTGTTCATTTACAGTATTTTTACATCAGAAAAAGCATGCATATCTCACAAAGAGAGCATAATATCAAGCATTTCTAGAGCCAACTTGCAGATAGCACTGATGGATTTCCATTGCTGGCAGCTACATGCCATGCACTAAGGCCAGGGAGATGATGAAAGCCTGCACTTCCCTGGTGGTTTAGGATATCTATCTAGCTCTGAGGGCTGGCGCCCTGCTTGCTGTGTATGGATTGCACCTGGTCACTCTTTCAGTAGCCTGACTGTGAGATTGGAACTCTTCTCCTGTTTTCTCATCCCTTCTCCTGCACAAGTTGACCTCACAGGTGCAATTACTCAGAAAAATTAATCCACTTTTACAATGTTTAGCCCCTTGGCTTTATTTTCACTCCTGCAGCTATTTGAATAACTAGCATAAATGAGGC